TCTAAAGACTCCTGTCTAAATACTGAACAAACAAACGTAAGCTTACTATTCATACTGACCTGGGAGCAGCTGCTGTGCTCATGAAGACTGGGGCTGTACTGCCTACTCGATGTTCACGGAGTATGTTATCAGACTGTCCTAAGTGCTGCAGTTTTAGGGAACACTGGGATACGGCTGTGACCCTAAATTGTGATAAGGGTTACCCAGTGGTCAAAGGCTGATTAGTTCTGAGCTGTTTTCTCCCTTTGATCCTTGTGTTTTTTTTTGAAGGAAGGGGAGGTGTATGCCATTGAAACCTTTGGCAGCACAGGAAAGGGTGTCGTTCATGACGACATGGAATGTTCACACTACATGAAAAACTTCGATGTGGGACATGTGCCAATAAGGTGAGAGACTTGATTTTACAACTTATGAGCATTCTTCCAGTTAATGCGTGACAGTCATTATTGGTTGGATTCATGGTGACTGTCGTGCTTGCTGAATAAAAGGAATATCCATCCATAATACTCATCTAGCACACTTCATGTGATCTTTAGCAGGTTCATACTCAGCTGTCCATTACATATTTCAGTTATTATGAGTAAAAGAATAAATGATGTTTTTGAACTCAGGTTCCAGGTGCAGACACAGCTAAGATTTGACTTTTGTAATGGGGGAAATCTGTTAGTTACCCCTTTGCCAGCTATTAATCTTAACTTTTTTCCTCTTAGGCTTCCAAGAACAAAACATTTGCTAAATGTCATCAATGAAAACTTTGGCACCCTTGCCTTCTGCCGCAGATGGCTGGATCGCTTGGGAGAAAGTAAATACTTAATGGCTCTGAAGAATCTGTGTGACTTGGGCATAGTAGATCCATACCCACCACTGTGTGACATTAAAGGATCGTACACGGCACAGTTCGAACATACTATACTGTTGCGTCCAACTTGTAAAGAAGTCGTCAGCAGAGGAGATGACTATTAAACTAGTCCAAAGCCAACTCCACGTCTTTATTTTCTAAGCTTTGTTGGAATACATTATACCACAAGTAATTTGCAACATGTTGTCTGTTTTAACAATGGACCTATGTAATACCTTTATCCATGTTTCAAGGAGTTTGATCAAAGGCAAACTGTCTCCATGTAATTAACTAAGGGAAAGGCTTTCAGGACTTTAATGTTAGCTGTCTCTCCTACCTAGGAACTGCCGCACTGCTCACTAGTTAGGAATTCCTTACACTTTTTGTTCTGAAGACCTAAGAAAGATGCTTTTGGATATTTATATTGCCATGTTCTTCCTTGAATGCTCTGAATGACTACATCCAGTTCTGCACCTTCGCCCTCTGGTGTTGCTTTTTAACCTTCCTGGAGTCCATTTTCTAAATAAAGACATTTTCAGATTGGAGAGCTACATCTTAATGTCTGTGGTTGTAATTCTAAACAGAGAGTAGCTAAAGCGTAGATAGTGTTCTTTATTTGGACTCTAGACTTACCTGGACTAGACTTTCTTCAGGTGAGGTGAAGTGGGCAGAAGTGAGTACACCCCTTCAGGAATGTTCTACTTTTTTAGTAGAAGCATATTTAACATTAGTCTTTTTCTTGTCATGGGAAAACATTGTGCCAACTTGAAAGACCTTGAAGTAATTAAAGTCCCTTAACCCAGTGGCCATGTTTATAGGATACATAGTCACATACTAGAAAACAAAAACATTAAAGCCACAAGCAAAAAAAAATTTTGGATCTTGTTCTAGTTAGAAAAATTAACTCGAAATTGGGTCAGATACTCAACATTCATATCCATTAACAAGTTAAGGATCTTAATGTCACAAATTATTTTAGCTGTGCAGTGGTGGCACACACCTTTAATCCTAGCACTAGGGAGGCACAGGCCTGGTCTACAGAGCAAGTTCCGGGACAGCCAGAGCTACACAGATGAACCCTGTCTTAAGCTCCCCTCCCCTGAAATGAGTTTCTTTTTTATTAAGTCAAGGGTGTTATTTGGAATGTAAGAATACAATATTTAGCTTGTTTGGAATGGGCAGTTATTTAACTGCTTAGAGTCTTATATATGGTCTGCTAGAAACATTCCATCAGAGTTTCAAAATTGTTACTTGTCCAGATTAAGCCTTAATTTGTGTATGCCTTAGTACAGTGATGCTGTATTGCCTCTGGGATGCAATATAGTTTTAATTTTGCTTGACATGGTCTCTGAAGAGAAACTAGAGTTGTGGATCTGGATGGTATTCTGCCCTGAATAGCTGCTCTTTCTACATTCCAACTGTAAGTGAATCTTCCCTTTTCTTTGTGGGTGAACAGTTTAGTTTTTAACTGTGAGTTGTGTGTTTACAGTGCTGTTGTTTATATTGCTACTATTGAATGCATTATCTGTCTTCTACACATACTGTGTAAGATGTTCCCCATAGGTTCCCGTGGGACTTGATTCATGTTCCTATCATTTGGGCAGCTTGATAGCTTAAGCTCAGGATTTTCAAAACTGACGCTTTAGGGTTTTCCGAGGCCTTTTTCATCAGTCTCCTTTGTATGGTTCGAGCTTACCTCAGAAAGCTGTTGGAAGCATCAGCTTCTCCAAAATGGTGGGAAGGAGTACCACCTTACATTATAGAGCGCTGGTTCTCAGCTGCAACCCTTAATACGGTTCCTCATGTTGTGGTGACCCCAACCGTAACATTATTTTTGTTGCTACTTCATAACTGTAATCTTGGTTCTGTTATGACTCGTAATGTAAATAGTCTGGTTTTGGTTGAGAACTGCTATTATAATGGGAAGCCAGCAAGCAGAAAATACCTATAGCTTGCTTCCCAAGCTGTTCATCCCTCAAAATCATGGTTACATTTAGTGATGTATTATCTCTTACTGGCAACAAGTCTTAGTTTGATGTTAACAGTAGTGCTTTAGAAAGTTATTTTCAACCCAAACTGTTGGTTTTTGTTAGAAGAGGTATTAATAAGAAACCTAAGCTTTTGTTTATCATTTTTTAGATGCTTTTTTCCGTTTTTTTGTTTGTTTGTTTGTTTGTTTTTTGAAGAGCAATTTTCGATTCTCCACAAAATCTAGTGGGATAGTACTACAGCCTTGTGCCACCCCTAACACATACTAAAGCCTACGTCACTTTTGTTCTGGTGTTTTACTTTGTAGGTGACCATGACAGACAGCATAGCTTCGTATTTTGTAACCCTAAAAGTCATGTGCTGCAGTGTGTTGCGTTGACAGCATTCAGGCAGAGGCAGGTGGATCTCTATAAGTTCAGGCCAACCTACTCTACAGAGCAAGTTCCAGGACAGGCTCTAAAGCTACGCAGAGAAACCCTGTCTCAAAGACAAAACAAACAAAAAAAGAGAGAAGAAAAAAAAAATCCTCAAAATTATAGGCTAGACTTGGTACCTTTACCACATACATCTTTAATGAGGTATATTTAACAGTTTAGTTGACAGTTTGCATAGGTGTTGGTAAGTGAACATTTATAGACCTAGCCTTTTAATGCTCCAGCTGTATTTTTGAAACAAATGATTTGTCTGTCTATACATTTTTGTTACAGTTTGTTATCAGCTGCCCCAGGTGATACTGCTTTCCGAAATCTGCTAAAGATACCTCTTTATTGGTAAGCTGTAAATAAACCGACTTTAGCAGGAAAGGGACAGGCTCTCGGTGGCTAACAGGGAGCTTGCGATCTTACATACTCATCTGTAGCTTGGTGGAGCCCTCCTCCCCCATTCTGAATAAGTGAAGCCCTAGTAGCACTAGGGCTTTCTTTAAAACACAGCAAAAGAAGTCTCGTTCTGTCAATCAAATTCAAGTTTAGATAGTGTTTTTAAAGAGGTAACCTAAAAGGATCCCAGAAGTCACATAATCCTAGCAAGAATAAAAGATTCAGGCTTAGGTTACTTAGGGAGAAAAAAAGAACCTAGTTGCTGGTCTTGAACAACTTCTGCCCTATGTGTTTCTCCCTGTCCTTAAGACTTTTTATTCCTTTGAAACTAAGAACCTCAAGTATTTAATAGATCTAGTGTAATTAAACCTAAAATCAACTCAAGAGAAACTACATTTGTGTATCAGTTAGCTAAATTCAAATTTTTGTGACTGCCTTTTCTCATTGTCCATAGTTCCAAAGTTCATTTAAATACACTGTTTGTAAACCTGCCTTTTTCATTATGAGTTTGTGCTCAATAAAGAACAATTACAGAAGCCATAAATTGTATATTGAAAGACCAGTAACTGCATTAAATCTCTCTGAGCCTTGTGCTTCTGCATGTACCCTCAGGAGTATAAGCATCAGTACCCATCTATGTTAACCATCAAGGGGACACAACTGGAGTCTGTATACCAGTGGCTTTCTTACTGAAGTAAGACTGTCTGTGAAAAGCAAATCCTTCCCATGTATTTAGAATCTGTAGAAAATAGCTACAAAAGATAAATAACAATATATATAAAAATGATGCCACCTGAATTTCTTTAGTAGATTGCACAAATTCATTGTATATTGAAAGACCAGTAACTGCATTAAATCTCTCTGAGCCTTGTGCTTCTGCATGTACCCTCAGGAGTATAAGCATCAGTACCCATCTATGTTAACCATCAAGGGGACACAACTGGAGTCTGTATACCAGTGGCTTTCTTACTGAAGTAAGACTGTCTGTGAAAAGCAAATCCTTCCCATGTATTTAGAATCTGTAGAAAATAGCTACAAAAGATAAATAACAATATATATAAAAATGATGCCACCTGAATTTCTTTAGTAGATTGCACAAATTCATGATTTGAGGCAACTAAGACATCAAAATATAAGAGGTAATAGCCTGAGGTAAACACTAAAAGTATAAAACTCAAATAATTGAAAAAAATGTTTAGTTGGCCTACAGTTGATATATATTTATAGTTTGTAAAAAAAAGAAAAGAAAGAAAACAAAACCTTTGTAGTTAAATACAAAATGTCTAAACGTAGCATGCACTGATCATAATTGAAAAATAAAAACAATGAAGCTCACATCGTAAGTCAGCCCATTTAAAAAGTATATATACAAATAACGAGAGCCCACTGTGGATCAGCTAAGGACTTCATTGGAAGAGGCATCCGTTTCTTCACTGGGATGTTGGCTATTGGACAAGAGCTCGGGAGGCAGGAGTTTAGAATGTCCATTCTCAGTAACTCGCTGAGTATAAAATAAGATATAAGCTTGGGCCTTGCGTACTTCATCCATAGTGCACATGCTTAGCTTGGAATCATTGCAGTGTACCCAGAACCCTAGAGTGAAGCAAAGAAATTGGATGTTCATAAAAGGATTTCAGAAATTTCTACTGCAAAAATAAAAAGCCTGTTTAATTGGAAATGGAGATGAGGAAAGATGACTAGTTCATTTTCTTTGCAATGGGAAAGTGTTACTCTAGAATTCTTTTACGGAATAACCTGTTTTATTAGTTTGGAGTTAAAGAATCTGACGAATGTATTTGACATCCTTCATTCCCGATGGAAATACTAGGTAACTAATGCTTCAGCCACTTACTGTAAGCACAGTATACTGCTAATAGAACAGATTCACTTGTAGAACAGATAGGCCTTCTGTTGTCTGCACTGCTAGAGTGTGTGTATGCACACGGGGTCACTTTTCAGTGCTCCAGTCACCTCTGCCAGGTAGAGGCAGGGTTACCTCTTGAGTTTGAAGACAGCCTGGTCTACAGATGAGAAACCCTGTCTCAAAACAAAGAGTCCTTGTGTATGGCACGTGTCTTTAATCCCATTACTCAGGGAATGCAGACCCAGGCACATCTCGAGTTCAAGGCCAGTTTGGTATCCATAACAAATTCCAGAATAGCCAGAGTTAGTGAGAGTAGACCGTTTTCTGTGCCCTGCCCCCAATAATCCTGCAGCGCCAACTGCAGAAACCCTTTGTCTAGAAGGAAGGCAAGTAGTCAGGGGACGCAGTGGACAGCTTAGAGACTGCTAGGAACCGTAGTACAAGTTCCCACTTCTATTTCTTGGCTGTACCTCCTTCAGAATTGTAACAGTAGGCAGTGTAGTGTCCTGAGCCAAATCCTTTCCCATGGTGGATTACTACAGCAGATAAATTGTAGATAAAGCACTCTGGTCTGAGAGCTTTCAGGGTCTCCCTGCAGCAATAGGGCTCCATGTTCAAGGTTTCCTCAAAGACAACATGAACACCAATCTTCTCTCGGTTATTACGTCCTGACCATCTGGGAATAACAACAGTGAAAATCACAGGGAGAACATTTGCCACATGCTAGGTCTAGTCAGCTTTACGAGTGGGTCCTGGAGACCATGAAATACTTGCTAGGCAAGCATTTTATCGCTGCTGTATTCCCAGCCCTGCCATCAATTTTGTTGCCATATGACTCGTAGTCAGGGGTAACCTTGAACTCCTCTACCTCCTATGGGGGATTACAGGCTTAAAGTAATTGTCCTTAATATAGAAATAAAATTCAAAAAATTATAGCCCTGAGCATTAAATTATGTCCATGGTATGAAAGAGACACCTCAAGTGGGAGGTATAGTTAGTCAGTCTAAGCTTTCTTTGATGGGTAGGTATAAGAAAAACATACCTTTTCATTCCTAAGAACTCTCTACACTAAGTCAGGGGATGTCAAGTGACAAATAAGATTCTGTAATGCTGCTTTCTCAGTGTCCCACTACTGGATCTAAGCACAGCATGCCACATTTTATCACTGACAAACTATCGCTTGGTACAAAAGGGAAAATCACAATATGGATTAGTTCTTTTTAAGAGACTAATCTGATGTCAGGCAATGAATGGCGGCACCCATCTTTAATCCCAGCACTCAGGAGGCAGAGGCAGGCGATCTCTGAGTTCAAGGCCAGCCTGGTCTATAGAGCAAGTTCCAGGACAGCCAGGGCTGTTGAGAGAAAGAGACTAACCCAGTTTCGGGTACTGAGAGATAAAATGCAGCATTGAATGTACTAAAACATTAATTTCAGACAGCAGGAAGAGAGGTGAGGGTAATATAGTCTAGTTTTAGAGAGAAAGAAATGTGTAATTACTTAGTGTAGTATAAAATTGTGCAGAGTAAAGGTGAGCCATGTACATTATGCTGTCTGTTGGACCAGAAAGTCATATTCCTATGTGTGTGCTGTGTAATATAGTGGTGTCACTCCAGTTTCCTCATATAGATCTCCCTTGGGATCTCTGAAGTGGTGATGAGTCTTTTGTATGCTTTTTGGTAACCATAGAGACTGCTGAGGATGTTTAGACTTTCAGTCCAAGAAAAGGGAGGAGAGCTGAAAGGTGTTGATTACTACTGCTGGCCTCATAAGTATAAATAATGTCTATATAAGGAAGCTTCTGCAAAATTACCCTAAAGGCCTGGCCGGGGAGCTTCCACATAGCTCAAGACACAAACATTCCTGGAGTGGGTATGTCTGGGAAAGGTATGTGTGCTGGCTAGTGTACTTCAATGACAAGCTAGTCAGCTGAGTGTGGGGCACCTCAACGGAGAAGTTACCTCCATGAGATCAAGATACAGGCAAGCCTGTAGAGCGGCTTAGTGATTAATGTGGGAGGCCCAGCCTGTTGTGGGTGGGGCCACCCCTGGGCAGGCCGAGCAAGACATGAGCAAGCCAGTAAGCAGCAGCATCCTCTGCACCAGCTCCTGCCTCCAGGTTCTGGCTCAAAGTTCCTGCCTTGATTTCCTTCAGTGATGGGCAGCAGTGTGAAAATGTAAGGCCTTTCCTCCCCATGTTGCCTTTGGTCAGTGTTTTGTCACAGCAGTGTTAACCCTGACTAAGACAGATGCACCCTTGCTCCTTCCCAGATGCCTCTTCCACCCTCGTCCTTACCTTATGGATGCCTTTGTGGTAATGGCTAAACTCAAATGTTTGCATGAGATCCACTAGCAGAGGGATTAGGTAAGGTTCCTTACCTTGCTTGAGCTGTGGGAACCCAACTAATAACTAAATTTTTTTTACTGATGTATTTTGTTGTTGTTGGATACTTTTTCCTGCTAATAGTGTGTCTTTCTCTCTATATGTGGCTACTTGATAATTCATTCCAGTGCATCCTAATTAGCTTTGTACTTGTACTGCCTGTGGAGAAAATAATTCACGAGCTGACAAGATGGCTTGGTGTAGGTGTAAGTGCCTAGTTCCAAATATGATGGCTCAGGTTCAGTCCCCACATAGTGAGAGAACAACCTCACACAAGTTGTCCTTGGATCTCCACATGTGCACACTGCAGCTTGTGCCCCACCCTCTCCAAAAACAAGATGCTATAAGAAGTTTCAATACAAAGTAATGTAAGTTACCTTGCTATTTGGCTTATTTTCATTGCCTTTTAATACAGGTATGGGACTGGCGTTTTTACAGTGTCTTTTATAAAGTGTATGACTTCCCCAACAAATACATTTTCTGGGTTTTCTAATACAGCGAGTATGGTGGCACATGCCTTTAATGAAGAGCTGAGACAGGGGTAATCTCTAAGCTTGAGGCTAGGCTGGTCTATGCAGCAAGTGCCAGGCCAGGTCAGCTAGGGCTACACATTGAGACCTTGCCTTATAAAAAAGACATATATCCTTTTTTATTTATTTATCTTTATTTCATGGCCGTTAGTGTTTTGTTTCCAGGTATGCCTGTGTGAGGGTGTCGGGTACCCTGGAACTGGAGTTTGAACAGTCAAGTGAGTGCTGGGAATTGAACCTGTATCCTCTGGGAGTGCTGTAGACCAGGCCGACCTCGAACTCAGATGCACCTGCTTCTTTCTCCTGAGTGCTGGGACTAAAGGTGGGCACCACCATTGCCTGGCTAAGAAAGTATTCTTGTCAGGCATGGTGGCATACACCTTTAATCTCAATACTGGAGAGAGCAGAGGCAGGTGGACCTCTTGAGTTCGAGGACAGCCTGGTTTGCAGAGTGAGTTCAGGACAGCTTGGGCTATACAGAAAGACCCTGTTTTGAGGGGGGGGAAGTTAAGTAAACTTTATAGAAGCTAGCAAAGCAAGATGGCCTAATGGTTAAGAGTGGCTGCCACCAATCCTGACAAACTGAGTTCAATCCCCATGGCCTAAGTAGGAGGTAGCCACTCTCAGAAGCTGTCTCTGACCTTTCCATGTGTTTTCTGGCATTGTGTACGAATATGCATGTACACAAACAAGTGACAAAAGGACTTTGATTGAACTCTTGAGATTTTGTTTATTTTTTGAGGCAGGGTCTCACTGTATACTCCCTGGCTAGCTGTCCTGGAACTCACTCTGTAGACCAGGCTGTCCTTGAACTCAGGCTGTCCTTGAACTTCACAGAGTTCCTCCTGCCTCCCTAGTGCTGAGATTAAAAGTATATGCTATCACACTTACTATTTTTATTTTGGTGTACATTCTGGGAAATGTTCATGCTACATAAGGTCAGAGGACAACTTATGGCACTCAGTTCTCTCCACCATGGGTGGGATCCAGCGGATTGAATGCAGGTCATCAAACTTGGTGGCAGGTGTTTTGACCCTTCTCACTAGCCTCCCCAAACTGCTGTGTCTTTGATCAATATATTCTAAGCAACTGGGTTGCTTACATTTTTAAAAAGTACACCTGAATATTAAACAATAAATATATTTAAAAATACATAGCAGATCACAGTCACTGCTAGGATATGTGATATACTCCTATAATCTGGGTGTTCAGGAAGCTAAGGCAGAGGGATGCTCAATTTGAGGCCAGCCTAGGGTGCATTCCAGGCTGCCCTGGCCCTGGCTCAGAAAAACAGTAACAAAGCTGGACAATAGTATGGCGTGCCTTTAATCCCAGCTCTTGGGAGGTAGAGGTAGGCGGATCTCTGTGAATTCCAGGACAGCCAGGGCTACATAGAAAGACCCTGCCTCAAAAACACAACTCAGTTATTAAATATGAGGTCTACTGTTCCAAGCTAAAGATCGTAACTACAGTTTTTTGAAGGATGTCATCTACTAGCCAAGTACATAGTATTTAAATTTAATCTGTCATATGTATATGTTAAATTCTGAAGCATCCTAAACAGAAGGGATGACCAGATTACTCATAACTAGTAGACAACTGGAACTAACATTACTGACCTGAATCGTTTGAGGTGTAGTCTGAGAACCTGAGGTAGGTGACATATCATAAGCTGTTTCTGGGCTTCTGTGAGTACAACTGGTTTTGACGAAAACTTTCTACGCTTTGCTACAATAGCAAAAAAAGAAAGAAAAAAGTAAACCTCAGTTTCAAAACTACAAAATAAACTTGAGTAAATGCTTTTATAACTAATTACTATATTACAAGCATCACACTGTGCTAGAGAATGCATGATTTAAAAAAGAAACTGATAAGTAGTCAAGTCAGGTAAACCCAGGACTTAATACTAATCCTGTAAGGACTAGAGATGGCCCAGCAGTTAAGAGCAAGTGTTTGTTTTTGCAGAGAATCCAGATTGAGTTCCAGGACCACACGGAGGCTCACAACTGCCTGCAACCACAATAACGGAATGCTCCACCCGCTTCTCCCCTTGGTGGGCTCCACACATGTGGTGTACTTACACACATACAGGCAAAACCACTCATGCACATGAAAATAAAACAGTATACTGCTACATATTTAAAAGTAGATTTACCTATGCCAGCTAAGAGGAGAGAGTCTAAAATTTCCCCTATGCATACAGTAGTATTTGTTTTCCAAACTCATTTCATTTTAAGTACGAAGTCCCCGGGCATGTGGGTGTGTACTGCCCGGAGCACTCCCTCACCCTCTTCACGTCCCCTCATCCTGGTGGCGTGTACAAAGGGCTCCTCACTCAGTGCCATGCTCTTAACAAACAGGACTCGGGACTCTTGTCTCTTCTGCTTCTCTAGTGTCCACTCGGGGACTGTGTCCTGGACTCTGCTGGACACCCTCTCCCAGAGCTTCTGCTTGCTGGCCCAGCGGCTGTCCTTGGGCTCGTACGACAGCTCTGACTGTGGCAAGGGCAACAGTCCCTCTCATGTCAGCCCCAGGCAGGTTCCACTAGTATCTAGCTGCAGCTAAATGTCCTGGCCCTACTTTGGGACTGTAATGTGGCTGCAGGGTGCCCGGCCTTACACTTGTCAACCTGTTTATAAATATTCACCTTCATCTATTACAGCAGCTCTTCCAGACCTGCATCTGTTAGCTTCAGTACACACACAAGACCATATTCTACATTTATAATACTGCCTAACCCAAAATTTGGTGATGAGGATAACTGGGACACTTTACCAAATCTTAGGCCTATTTCTCTGTCAAATCTTACAAATCTTAGGTGATGTATGTAATCACAGAGTACACAGTACAACAGCACTCAGAACAAACTGACTTTAGATGGTTTTAGAAAATAATTGGGCTGATGGCCCTTCAGCCCTGGAAAGACAGTGTTAAGGTGCCTGCCTGATACCCAGATCCCCAGCATGAAGGCTCTCGAGCTGAGCCTGCTGGGCCAGGCACTGGTACCACACCTTTAATCCCAGCACTTGGGAGGCAGAAGCAGGCAGATCTCTGAGTTTGAGTCCAGCCTGGCCTACAGAATGAGTTTCAGGATAGCCAGGGCTATACAGGGAAACCCTGTCTCAAAATAAAAAGTAAATAATGGAAATAAAATAATTGATATTCTATGTGTATGGGACATACAAGGTAAACATGCCTACATGTCCAAACACCACAGAGGAGGCAAAAGGTTGTCAGGTTCCTTGAGACTGCAGTTAGGTTTTGAGTTGCCATGTGGGTGCTGGGAATTGAACCCTGGCCCTCTAAGAATGTCAGTTAACCATTAAGCAGCCTCTCCAGCACTGCAAGAAGAATGTTAATGTCATCAGTAAGGATCATTGTGAAGTAGAAATGCCTGGTTTCCTTTGTGGAACTAAAAAATTCCTTTTCATAGCTACTGCTTAAGGACTTCCAGCTTCCTCAGTCTCCATCACCAGTCCTAAAAAGCACAGAGACTGTCTGTACTCACAGTTACAATGGTCACACACGTAGATTTTCCCTTCTAATGCTTCTGTTTCTGTAAATTTGCCCAACATATCAGTAACTAGACATGGCTGGGAGGCGGCATCTTTCCCACTGCATTGGTACCTCTCTGGAAATTCCAGTGACAAGTCCCAGAATGGTTCTATTGTGTTGGATTTGTTGTCACACGCAAGACACGTAACCTGCAACGAAACACATTGCTCAGGTTTATAGTCTTTCTGCCAAGCGTTAGCTTTCACTAGAGGCCATTACCAGTGAACCGTCAGTGCGATGAATGACAAGATTTACAATCTGTCAGCACAGCTCATTACAACTCTTTTTCTTCGAGAGGATATTTATTAGGTCTGGTGAAATGAAGTGCTTGCTGCCAAGCCTGATGAGCTGAGTTGGATTCTCAGGACCCAAAGGGTGGAGGGGAGAGTAGGGAGAGTAGTTCTAAGTTGTCCTCTGATGTCCAAACACCACACACACACACACAGACACACACACACAGACGCGCACACACAGAGTTGTCATTATAGACTATCCTTAAACTCATTACAAAAGATGGGCTTCAATTACTGACCCATCAGTGATCATGGCAGGATGTGGGATGCATACCCTTAATCCCAATAGTGGCTCTCCAAAGCCTGAGGTCACCCAGGTCTACATTGTAAAATCCAGGCCAATGCTGCATGGTGACACCCTGCATCAAAAAACCAAAGCCTGGCAGTGGTGGTGCACAACTTTGATCCTAGCACTCAGAAGGCAGAGGCAGGTGAATCTGAGTTCAAGTCCAGCCTGATCTACAGAACAAGTTCCAGAACAGTCAAGACTACAGAGAAACTCTTGAAAAACAAAAAAATCTCCAACATTAGTCAAATCTAGGATTTAGAAGGAAAATATAAAAGACCCATTTTATAAGCATTATATATATTTTTATGTGTGTGCATGTTTATGTGTGTATATATAATATATAGTTACATGCATTTAATGTACATGTTACTAGATGAGGTTTATCACCTTTTCTTTCCTCATCTTTCATTGATTTGTTTGTGTAAGAGGGACAGTGACTCACTAGGCCAGTCTAGCCTGGAACTCTCTTTCAAACCTAGGCTGGCCTAGATTAGGTCCCCAGCACACAAGAAAGCAAAACCCAATCAAAACATAGGAAGCAAGAAACAGTTGGAAAAATAGCTCAATCTCCCCACTCCCCTGCCCCACCCCAGAGTTTAACAACTAGAGCCAATTTAGTGATTGGGATACTTAATGCTACCAACCCAGCACATGAATATGTGAAGACATTATGAGCTGAATGTACACGACATGAAAGACAGCAGAATAACTCATATAAACCACATTTTCTGGCACAGACGACAAAATAGGGGCTGGAAGAGCTGGCAGCTCTTCCAGAGGTCCCAAATTCACCCACTTAGTGCCTCACAACCATCTACAAAGGGATCCAGTCCGTCTTCTGGTGTGCTGTGTACAGACAACAACATAAGACAACTCTAATACAGAATTTCGATGTACCAAATCAACAAAAAGAACCCCACAAGAGGTAAGTCTAGGAACTCGGTATGGATGCCGGTTTTGAGAAGCTCTTGCAAGCTCCCTTCATGTTAAAGGAGATGAAGACATGAGGTGTAGAGGCTTGGCAGTAGGGTGTGAGGCCCAAGAGAGAAGCACAATGTTTATAAGACAAATTATGTACAAGATTCCCTTATTTTAAAAGAAAAAAGAACATAGCTATTCTCACACTATATCGGAAATCTAAATGAGAAAATAACTTACTGAAAGTGAAAGTATCATCACTTTAAAATTCTGTGTCTTTGTGTTGTGGATGTGTGCACATGAGTCATGGTCTTAACTTTGAGGCCAAAGGCACTGGACCCTCCTGGTAGTTGTGAGTTGCTTGATGTCGGTGCTGGAAAGTGAACTTGGGTCCTCTGCAAGAGTGTTACTAGCTCTTAACCACTGAGGCACCTGCGCAACCCCTAAACTACTTCCTTTGGATAAAGCAATTCCAGGACCATGTTGCATGGAAAACAGGAAAAATACTAATTTACCATAATATAATGAAAAACTGGGAAAGGTCCCAAATATACAACAGAGGGATGGCTAAATAAGTTATTGTGTTTAAGTAAGCAGATACAAAAATGTTTTGAAAAGAACAATCAAATGTTTTTTAAGACTTACTTTTTAAGAGGCCGAAGAGAAGGCTCAGTGTTACAAGCTCTTCCAGGAGGCTCACAACTGTCTCTAACTGTACTCCTGTGGGATCTGATGCCTTTTTCTAGTGTGTGTACATGCAGTCAAAACACCCATACACTTAAAATACATAAATCTTCTAGATGAAAAGAAGGAACTTATTTGTTAAGTATGTGTATGTTGTGTGGTAGATAGAGTATGTGTACATGAGTGCAGATGCCTGTGGACACCAAAGATGTCAGCAGATGTCCTGAGGCTGGAGTTACAGGCAGTTGTGAGCCACCAGCCCTCTGCAAGAGCAGTAACCACTGAACCATCTCTCTAGCCCCTTGCATCTCAGCTGGAACAAACAAAAAGGAAAACTATGTTATGGGAAAAACTGGGCTCATGTCTGGGGACAGTTTACCACTCAGAGAACCACTGAGCAGATGGACTCTGGTTTCACAACTCATCTTTTCACAAGGAAAACTGACCTAAGAAATGGATATAAAGGATTATTAGATTATTAATCTAAATAAAGTCATGTTCGTCTGCCTTAAAATTTCCCTACTGGCAGACAGGTGTTGACCCTTGAAGCTTCTAATAGGAGTTGCCAGAGCTACCAACTTTGGGATTTAAGGAATTGTTCATATACCACATCCATTCTCTGGATATCAACTGTGTCCTCCAGGACTAACACACACTCTCCTCACTGCTCAGAGACGGCTACACCATAACCGAGAAGGTGCATTTCTTCATCTCTCCCCTCAAAAAGGCTTACTTTCTTTTGTTTGCTTTTGTTTTATTTCGAGACAGGTTTCTCTGTGTTAGCCCTGGCTTTCTGCCCTGAAACTTGCTCTGTAGACCAGGCTGGCCTCAAACTCAAGAGATCTGCCTGCCTCTGCCTCAGGAATGCTGCAATTAAAGGTGTGCGCCACCAACGCCCAGCTCTCTCTCTCTTCCTCCTAAGTGCTGGGAATAAAGGTGTGCACCACCACCAGGCTCAAGTCTTTTAATTCCACAAATACATCTACTTCCACTGATTGACAGAAAACTGTATGTGAATGGGTGACGTCTTCACACATTCATAAAAGTAATCGATTTTGACTTGAAAAAAAACTTAAGATTTACTTATGGTGTAGTCTTCTGTCTGCATGTCCGCCTACTCACCAGCAGAGGGCACCCATTATAGATAGCTGTGAGCCACCATGTGGTTGCTGGCAATAAAACTCAGGACCTGTGACCTGTGAGGTTAAGAGCAGCCAGTGCTCTTAACCTCAGCCATCTCTCCAGGCCCCCGAAAACACTTTTAACACTCTGGGTACATACAGAATATCCGGTTGTAGGCTGCACTTTAAGAATTTCCTATGGTGATAGAATATGGTAAGAAATCCTACCTGACTAAGAAGTTGTCCGTGAAAAATGTTATTTACTACATTCAGAACTTGCTCGATCAGTTTCCTTTGGGAAGTGGGGATGAGAGCTGGGAACCTGGTTCCCGTTGTCTCGAGTTCGCGTTGTATTTTATCCAGAAGCTCACAAAGAAACTCCTGAGCGTCCTGCTGGGCATAGCCCCGGAAAGCAGGGATGAGTCTCCACACCGAGTGGAGCATAGCGAATGGCGACACCAGGGCCCACTCTCCAGACCACATGACTTGGAACAAAGTGTGTAGCTCGTGGCAAAGAGAACTGTACGGTGAACTCGGCTCCCTGGGCTGGATGAGCTCCATGTTTCGGCTCTTGGAGGACCCGCCGCTGAGGCCTGACGATAAACTTGGGTGTCTGGAGCACACGAAGCCCTTCTCCTTCTCTTTCTCCTTCTCCTTCTCTTTCTCTTGGCCTTCATTCATCTGATGAGCTGCCGCATCTGTGACAGGTGAGTGTTTACAGGGTCGGGACTTATCGCTAGCAGCCACCGCCAGCCATTGGTTCAGGTCAAGCTTTAAAAAGCACTGTCGGAAAATAAGTAAATGACTCAACACCTGCAGAACAGAATTCATATAGCAAGTATTCCCTAAATTTCTCAGTCCTGTTACACCAGGGGTCACTACCGGCCTTCGTTTCATTAAGGAGTCACTTACTTTTTTCGGCTTCTCATCTTCCGAGGTCGGTGACAGCGCTTTATCTTTGGCTGGCAATGGCTGAGTTGGCGGTGGCGGCTGCACCGGGACCGTTTCTGTGGTGGCAGCCTCCGTGAGGCCTTGCAGGCGCAAACTCTTTCGTGGGGGTGTGCTTTCCAAGTCGGCTCTCACCTGCGGCCCTACGTCTTGCTGTCTTTTCTTCAGCTCTCTCTTTGCTACCGCTTTGTCCGGAATTTGGTCTTGCCTCTTTCTCCCAATGGCTGACTGTTCGAACCAAGTTCGAAAGATTTTACCCATGAGCGTCCTTCTCCTGTGCCAAAGGGCAGTGCACGTTTGATCTTCTTTCGCAGCCGGGGACTGGGCGCCGTCGTGGAAGGAGGAAGAAGTGTCACGCGTGTCCACCGGCTGTGAAACCCTGCCGCTCGGAGCCGCACGCGGGTAAGTTTTACTTTTGATTGCACTTAATGTACTTCGTAGTGACTTCAGGTGTCCAGCTGCTGTGTCATTGAGAACATAATCATTACAAAGGTAACAAAACACATACATGTCATTCACCTCGAACGCAACGGGATGGCTGCTTTCTTCAAAGTGCTTCAGGGCGTGCTCCGCGATATACCTTCCGCAGGCCACGTGCGAACAGCTGAGACACGCCCAAATCGACTCCGTCGTGTTGCAGTCCGTACAGTACCATTTCTGAGGGTTGAAGATGGAATGATCCGGGCCAAGCTGCAACTGCTCGATGTGTCTGCACTCATCCATTGTTACTATTTCTTCAGTCTATGGGAGGGGCGCATCATCCAAACAAGTCTCTCCTCATAACACCTGCAGCACCTGAAAACTAAGCAGAACCGGGCAAGACCTGAGCAAAGAGCCTTTTTTATGTTTTCCCAGCAACAGCGGTAAATTTCCTCCAGGCTTGTTTCGGCGCTGCCTGACCCGCCCGCCTCTTCCCTTACCCATCGCGTTGAGTCTCCTCTCTCTCGCTTCCCTCTCCAACACATTTCACTTTATTTTCGCCAATGGGTCCACTTAAAAACCTTTCGTCTTTGATTTTCTGTCACCATCTAGTGGTGAAAAATTAGTGGCCACTTTTCACTGGATTAGAATGTTTTTATCCAACACCATGACGGCAGTTTCCAAAAGCACATTTAAATAAATAAATAAATAAATATAGGGGCTAGCAGTATGAGGGGTTTAAACAAAATCTAAGTAAAACTGGTAGGATTCAGAGGCTTGCAACACACACGGCTACAGACACAGCTCAGTAGGAGGATGCTTCCCTAGTATGAAGTCCTTTGGTCTGACCTCCTAACATACAGAGGAAACACAACAGAACGGCGATCTTAAACATAGTTGACCTCAAAGCACTCTTTCACTGACTTAACCAGAGCTGAGCACAGACTTCAGGATGAGGTGAGTTCCTAGCTACGGGACACAAGACTGCCTTAAGTATCCAGCACGAAGACACTGCACGTTGCAATGGTACCTGCGGCTGTCACCTCTAGGGACCCAGGGAAACCACAAAAGCAAACTTGATTTCTGGTGCCTTCCAACTTTCTTTGTAAAGAATCTGATACGAGACCCAATGCACAAGTCTCAAATGCTCACTTTACATTTAATTAAAGGCAGTGGTGGTGAACACCTTTACTCCCAGCATTTGGGAGGTAGGGGCAGGTGGAGTTCTGTGAGTTCAAGGCCAGCCTGAACTACAGAACAAATTCCAGGACAGCCAAGGGTACACAGAGAAACTCTGCCTCAAATGAACAAACAAACAAAAGCATTCTTTGGAGTCTAAACTTACGTGGCCAGACGACTCATTTGGGACTCTAGACCTAGTTCTGTGTCCGCCATGGCTCCAGGCAGGAGAGCAGATTGCTCTCCGAGGGCAGCCACCACTTTGGCTCCTGCTTTCCTCCCTGCCCTTCTCCCTGGGGTGTCCACCACGTCCTGCCTGGCAAATTTACACACCTGACTTGTCTTATGGGAAAATAATCCCGGCAGTACTATCAATGACCTTACAGACCATATTTCCTGGCAATTAATAACACAGCTGTCAGTACATCTCAACTGCTAACAGAAGCTTAAAATAAGAATTAGAAGGAAAAAATGGCTTATAGCTCAGCAGCAGAGTACTTGCCTGGATTCGAAGCTCTGGATTCAAAGAAAAAATAATAAAATGCTATAAATTACAATTCCCTTCAAAGTTGGCTGCGTTTTTCAGAGTTTCCTTCTTAACCAAGTCAAGATTTAACAGATGTCAAGATGCGATCAATAATGCAGCTGGGTATGGTGGCACATGCTTAATCCTAGCAGAAATAGGCAGACCTCTGAATCTGAAGACAGACTGGTTTACATTTTGAGTTCAAGGCCAGCCAGCGCTACATACAAGCAAGCAAGCAAAAAGCTGTAAGATCTAACCTCTCCCAGGGGTACATGCATTTAAGAAGGGGGTCTCATTTTTTTTTTTAACTCTAAAGATGTGTAAAATAGATGATGGACTACAGATCTCGAAAACTGTAGCGCAGGGGACCTACTCCGTCAGCTATGAGAGAAGTGAATGAGTGAGTGGTGGGCAGGCAAGGGAAGGGCAGGGAGGGAAGCAGGGGCCAAGGAGGATCCAGCCTGCTCTCCCGCCTGGAGCCACAGCTGGTCGGGAGACACTGGTCAGGAGCCTGAAGGCCGGCCGCATCACACAAAGATCTAAAAGCCTGAAGAGAGGCGGCCGGAACCATTTTCTCCACATGTCTCACCTTCCTCTCCAGGGTTCAAAGCCCCTTCTTTTCATTTGAGAATCAGCTGCCCTGAGAGGAGGCATTAACTGCTTGGCTCCAGAGCATCAAATATATGGTTTGGGCATATGCATTGGAAAGAGCTATGGCAGAGCAAAACCTCTGGCATCACTCCCAGATTCTGATAGCATATTACTTGTGTGTATATAATAGCATTAAGTACTTACGATGCTCTCAGTGAAATACGCTTGTGGGGATTTAAATCATCTGTGCTATCATCCTATGCATTTTAAAATATGCCACACATGACATAAGTGGCTATTAAATGGCTGCTTAAAACCACATATGTACTTACAAATGTTATAAGAGCTTTTGGTTACTTTTCAGTGTTTAAAGACAATGAATTTTTAATTTGCTGGCTGCCTTAACTTTATTTTCTTGTGACTCAATACACAGGGTTTGCACCCAACAAATATACTTGAAACAAAATTTTATAAACCAAACCTTGTGAGAATGGTGTAGCCTGAAAATTTCTGTGCAAGTTCGTTTCTTTAAAAGCACTAGTCATGAGGCAGGAGAAATGGCTCAACGGGTTAGATAGGCTAGGCTGCTCTTCCAGAGGACCAGGGTTCAATTCCTGGCATCTACATGCTAGCTCACAACCTGCAACCCCAGTTCTCTGACGCCCTCTTCTGGCCTCTGAGGACACCAGACATGCATACAGTCTATTTAATTACATGCAGGCAAAATACCCATACACATAAAAAAATGTAATTTAGAAATGCCAGTTGTGACTATTTTCATAAAGCAGTTTCATGAACACAGGAAGAAAGGTAATATATGTCAGTCATATTCAAAATCCTCTGGAATCCAAACTATTCTCTTTGTTTCGCTGCATTCTGTCATGTGTATGCCAGCCAAAAGAGCCATTTCCAATGAACTCCCAGAATTCATCACCATTCCAGGAAGACTCGCCAGTCAAAAGTGACCCTTTCCCTCTGGCTGCACCACTGTGCCAGGGGCCAGTGTGAATCTCGGTTTACCTGTACACACATTCTTCCTCTGGCAGCCATCGGAGGGGCCAGACCTCAAACATTCTCTAACGTGGAATGGTGAGATGGCTCAGCTGTTAAAGTTCCAGCAAGATGACCTGAGTTTGGTCTCTGGAACCCACGGTAGGAGAAAGTTCTCCTTTGACTTTCACACATACCTTCGAGAACACACACACATATGTAAAATTAAAACCCAAGGGCTTAATAAAACCCCAAGAGCAATTAGCAATATTGCTTTAGTCTAGCAAATTCTCAGAGGAATCAGGTAACTTTGATTGCATTTCTGTTTAGTTTCTGAGAAAGGGTCTCATTATATAGCTCTGGCTGTCCTAGAACTCACGCTGTCCTAGAACTCACTACATAGGACATGAACTCACAGAAGATCTTCTTGTTCCTACCTCCTGAGTGCTGGCTTAAAAGTGTGTGCCACCATGCCAGGTCCCTTGATTGCAAATAGGAAGCCATTACATCTAGTTCCCCTGTACTCTCAAAAACCAAGTGCTTCTGGGCAAAGTAGCCACTCTCCTCACGGCCAACTCTCATCTGTTTCTTGATCTTTTCCTGATATGATCATTGGACTTGTTTGTTTTGGGTCACATCTGTGGCCATACCAACCTGCTCAGTCTCATCTGACTCTGGAACTTACTGTCATTCAGGCTGCTCTGTGGTTTGTGGTGAGCTTCTCACTCAGTGCAGAGATTCCGAGTGTGGCAACCACACCCATGCCTGTCTGCCTTAAATGTGATCTTAATCTGTGGCCCCCAAGTGCTGGGATTACAGACGGGATCAGCATGGCCAGCTCTACTTGTCTCATTAACCTGAGCCCAATTTGTGCCCAGTACCATGGTACATGCTTTCAGACATCCAAAACAGATTTCATACGAAGCTGAACTGAAACTTCTCGCTATGATACAGTGACCCTTTAAGTAACGACCCACGTCCTCAAGAATGTCACTGACCTAAGAATAAGAAGGATATTTGTATCAGTTACTCATGGCTGTGACAAATGCCCCATAAGAGCACTTTGGAGAAAGAGGAGCTTGACTCGGTTCATCATGGCAGAAAAGACATGGCAAGAAAGGTCTGCAAAGCCCATACCATGCGGATGTACTGCCGAGCTCTGCTGCCACATGGGACACACTGCATGCCACGTGCCTTTTACTGCAGCTACACTTGCTCTGTGCACCTTAGTGGTTGGTTCCCTACAAGGCTGTGGTGTGAGGCGAGAACGCTAACGAGGGTATTTTTAGTTCAGTCTATCTCAAATGAACGTACGTACATCCTTACAAGCTGAAGCCTTTGATGGCAGGAGGCGCCTTTCCTACAGTTCCAGTACAAAGTGACTAAGATGTCAAAAACACTCCCTGAAGACAGCTCTTTAACAGATGTGCTGGGAAAACTGGACATCTGTGCATACAAGGATGAAGCTAGATAGATCCCTTCTGTCTCAGCTTGTACAGAAATGTAGGGGGAAAAAAAAGACCCAAGACTCTGAGAAGGCTGGAGGCAAAAGTAGGCAAAAGTAGGCTGCTATTCCAGAGAACCTGGGCTTTAATTTAATTCCCAGCATCCACATCGGGCAGCTCACAACTGTCTGTAGTGCCAGCTCCCGAGAATCCAATGTGTCTGGCTTCCAAGAGCACTTGCACTGACATGCACACGCACACATACATGTAATTAAAAATATATTTTAAAAAACCCTAATATTCTGCCAGGCAGTGGGGGCATGCTCCTTTAATCCCAACACTTGGGAGGCAGAGGCAGATGAATCTCTTAGTTCCAGGTCTATAGAGCAAGTTCCAGGACAGCCAGCGCCACATAGAGAAACCCTGTATCAAAGAAAACAAAAACAACAACAAAAGCCAAACCAAACCAACTGCCCACAGAACAACAACAAAACTAACATTTCACTGAGGCTGGAGGGCTCTGCACTTAAGAGCACTTACTGATCTTGCACAAGACCCACATTTGGTTCCCAGCACCCACAGCTCAAAACCACCCTCAACCCCAGTGCCAGGGGAT